TACTGCTTGATGCCACTGGCCGGATGGGCTTGCAAAGGCTGGACGGTCCGGGGCAAATCGTTCCAGACCATGATGTCATCGATGTTGCTGTCGGCCCCTGGGGAGCCGAGGCACAGAAACACAATTGCACGCAGTTGCGGAATTTTCTGCACACGCATCATCTGGCAGCTGCCAACACACACTTCAGCAGAGGGTGCGGGTGCGGCGCTACTTTCCGTGGGCCGCTTGGCCACCCTTCACGCATCGACGTCCCAATGCTCCGATGTTTGCACAAAGTCGTGTGGTAACTGAGTGGGAAGTGGTGTTGCCGTGGTGGTGGTGTTGCCGGTGTGGGATGTTGTCGGTGTCTGTGTGGTTAATGTAGTTGAGAAAGTGGGTGAGGAAGCGGGTGAGAAAGCTGATGGTGATGGTGAGTAATGCGAAGGTGGAGGGGAAGTTGGTGGGGAAGGTGTGTACAGCTGCGAATGTGGTGCGTGTGGGGGTGGGGGCGGTGGTGGGAAGGTCGGCTGGGAGCAAGGGATGTTGGCTGCCGGTATGTGATTACGTCGACTACGTTGTCGTTCCACAGAGGCTGTTGCACCACATCACAGATGTGCGAGTGTGGTACGGCAGTGGCTATCGATTGCAGCGCATTGACAGCCCAGACTTGCGTGATCACTGCCCCATCGTGGTGGACTTCAACTACGAGTTGTTTTTCCCGCAACCGCAGTACTGCGCCAAGTGGGATTTCACGACGTGCAATTGACGGACACTGCAGCAAGGAAGTTTTTTGCGAGAAGTGCAAACGTCACTGGCCGCTTTGCCACCGCCTTCGGATGATGTTTGTGAGTCGTGGAACGCTCTCAACAACATCGTCTGTAGACTGGCTCGCCGGTTTTTCACGCAATCTGGGTCACGACGTGCTCAACGACCGCCTGACACGCAGCAAGCTGCCGAGCAAGCCATGTTGGCAAGGGAAATCATAGGGATGCTTGTCTTCAGCTACGACGCCATCAACAACCAGCACAGTCAGTGAGTCTGACGTGGGCAGCATGGCAGAAGTATCTGCGTTTCAAAACCTTGCAGCGTCACTCCAAGCAGCTTTGTCGGAGGGATATTAGGCGACATAAAGTGGACGACTTGGTGCGACAACTACAGCAAGCGGCACGTGACAAAAGCGCTTCTTTGCAATGGAAGCTCGCCTATCGGATCGCGGGCGGCAAGCATGGGCATGGGTCCAAGAAGACCATCCACAACGTTTTCGTGCCACAGCGCAAGAGTGGGTCGATGAATTGTCATTTGCAGGGCCGAAAGGCAGCTGTGCTGCAACACGGCTCGACAAAGCTTCTGCTGATGCAATCTTTCCATATGTATTCGCAGGGGGCCAGCTGCTTCCAAAAGATGCAGTGCCCCAACGCACTAGCTCAGCATGTTGCTTTTCCATCAGAGCACTGCGGCCAAATTACATTTCTGTCGTCGGAGTTTCATGGTCAGCTTGAGGTTCAGCTCTTGCACACACCGGTGCAAACACGAGCATCACAACGTCTACCTGCTCTGTGGAACATGTCATGCCCAGTTGAGTTGGACAAGCGCAATAACAAGCCTGGCTGCAGCGGGAAGAGGCTCATTCATCTATTATGTCCTGTCGGAAAAGCTTACTTCCATCAGCTGTGGGCGCGATCAGTGCCAAGATATGCACATCATGCCTGCGGCTTCGTTTGCCGCCGACGTCGTGAGCAAGCAATCACACAGCAACGTTGCATCAACTGGCGCCTCCAGCATGCCGGGTTGGGGCATGTCACCGTGCTCTATGATGTTAAGAATGCTTTTCCCTCGCTATCTCACTCCTTGGGCGCAGCATTGCGCCAACATTCCCGTCCTGACGATGTGGAGCTGCTCATGCAAAGGCGCCGCGAAGTTTTTTATACTTCTGCGAGACAATTTCCTGCCTACATACACAGTCTTGCGGGCTGCGGGAATATGCAAGAGGATCGCATGGCCTGTTTGTGTATCTTCCGGCAGTTGAAGAGTGGCAAGTCGCATGTCAAGCGCTACCGCACGGAGTGGCGCTTCTTGCCACGGATCCGATCGCTGGCCAAGGTTGTGACACCTCACTCAGCACGTTTGCGGATGATGTTGCCAAGCCGCACGCCATACCTACGGCGCCGGAGTTTGCGCCCATGCACGCTGGCCTGGACTACAGTCTGCAAGGGTTGGGCAGTTCGGCTTGTGGGCTCGGGAGCGCAAACCATGGTCGTACAACTGCTAGGGGTCAGTTAAAAAGGATTGCTAGATATTTGGGAGGTTGGCTACATCACTCTTGCGCCACGTCTCCTGAAATCTCCAAGAAGTGGGTAAGTTTGTTTGCCTCTGCCACGGAAAGGTGTCTGAGGCGATTGATCTGGTGGCAAACTATTGTCAGAAGGCCTGAAGAAAATGATGCACTGCTGGCTAGCTTATTCGGGCAGTTTCCTTGGGAGAGCTACTCGCAGCTCGGTCCTGATGGTCGTCCCACACAGCATGCAAACCCATGGATACAGCAACTTGTTGAAGACTCGCGCGAGTTGTGTCGCTTTGACCTACCGGCACCAGGCCTCGTACATGATCAACCGCTGTTACTGTTCACTGCACCGCATCAAGCCGCTTTTTTGTCATTGCAGATCCGGAGACTTTTCAAGCATGCCCCGGCTGTGCTGCCAGAGCAAGAGGCTGACGGCAGTCCAGATGCATTTGCCTCGGCACCTCAGTTCCCCTGTGGATATGTTGGGCCGGACGGAAGAGCTTGTCATTACGTGGCAAGCTCAGCAGTTGTTGCCTTGTCGACACACAAACACAGAGCGCATGGCATTTTCATTATGGCTCGACAAATTATTGTCTGCAACCAGTGTCCGTAGTGTCGCAAAGTATTTGCATCTGTTGAGATCGTTCGCAGACATGTGCACGTGCGTGTTGCTAAAGGTGCTTGTCCTAGAACGGGTGGGGGTGCCACTAGCTACTTGGAGTGCCTTCGGCCGCCAGAACGACTGGAGTTCCCAGTCTGCTTACATCATGCATCCAGCCTGGACGCCCTGCGTCAGCATGTTGTGCAGCATGTTGCAAGAGGGCAAGGTGTCATGCAGCAGTACATTCGACCAGCGCAACCAGGTTGGCTGTGACGCTTCAAGTTGGTCTTGTTTTCGTAGTGTTCCGACCGCCATGGAGACCTGGTTCGCAGCCGCTGCGGCAGTTTCAGCAAACGACCGCCAAGTCCGACCTCGAGTGGGTGGCAGCAGCAAAGAGCAGGAGCAGCTCTTGAAGGCCGTCGCCGAGCTGACACCTCGCAACGCTCAGGCTTGCCGCAACATGGAAAGCACGGTGTTTGTCACGTACATCCTCTACTGCAGGCAGTGAGGCTGGGCGGCTCCATGCACAGCGTACTCGTGCAGCAGGTAACAATCATACGCTTGGCCAGCCCTCTTACCTGGCTATGGGCAGCATTCATGAAGGTTCTTGCCACCGATGAGAATATCAGCGCGGAGAAGCGGCACAGCAAGTGCAGTCTTACTGCGACGAGGTCTCGGGACCCTTGCTCTCTTTCCCAGACGGTCCTCTACTGTCGGTTCTCAAAAGTCTACGACCAAAGCAAGGTTCGCTTGCAAGTAGCTGTGACACCGGAGCTACAGGAGTTCCTGACCGAGTCCCAGCATGGTCTGGAGGCGAGTGGAGGCGAGCACAAGTTTGGCCCATCCCGTCGAGGAGCTCTGGAGCGGCACTTGCAGGAATTACTTGGGGAGAACTCAGGCCCCTCACCTGAGTGAGTGCTGCCGTAGGCACAGTCACACTGTTTTGAGCGAGCAACTGGCAGTTTTGAGACCTAGTGGATTTGCTTGTTGCTTGCCTAGTTAGTCTTTGTATTTGTCGAGTGCGCTGGATCCACGAGCGCTGGGTGACTTTACCCACCGTTCGTCGTTCCGTGTAGCGCCGGCGCGGCCCTTGTGTGCCATAGAGCCACGGCTGCCTGTGGTTCACGAATTGTTTAGAAGGACCGAGCTGTGCTTTCACGCCGTGGAGTTTGGACGCATCTCCGAAGGCTCAATGAGTGAGAGAGAAAGCTTTTGATCAAAGTCTTTTCTTTTCGGGTTTAAATTTGGAGTTCATACTTTGGGGTTTATAGTCGCCCCAGCTTGACATTGTGTCACTTATCTCCATCGGATACCCTTCAGTGTTCGGCAATCTCGCAGACCAGACTTTGGGCAGGGTGCAAAAAGGACGGATCGAGTTCACGTGCAATGCGGCAAGCATATATTCACTCCTACTCACTCACTGGCTCACCCACAAGATAATTAACTGATTAACGAACGTTTGGCTAACTGCCAACTACTAGCTACCAACTATTAGGTCTTAAGTGCTAGTTGCCAACTACCAATTGTACTATTGCGGCGACGACGACGATGACTGCTGCTACCACCACTACTACTACTACTACTACTGCTACTACTACTACTACTGCTACTACTACTACTACTACTAACGCGACTACTACAATTACTCCTGTGCTTGTTAGTGGCAGTGTGACCACCAACAACGTCTCAAAACAAGAAGACCCAAAACTTGAAACTACTGCAAAGACTCCAATCTTTGACCGATGATGCACCGCAAGTCTCTCTAAACTATTTGAAACCGCCAGCCGTTTCCCCGACTCCTAGCCATGAAAAAGAACCCACTGGAGCAGACAGAACCCGAAACCCTAAACAGCCCCAATCCTAAAACCCTAAATAGCTCGAGACCTAAACCCTAAACCTCCGGCGCTGAAACAGAAAGTCCGCAACCTCAAAATCGCATCCGCACCTGGCACCTTGAGATCTTGCCGCGCATGTTCTAATTCCATTACTGCAAAGAACACGTTCAGAGCAGCCAGCTCTGTTAGTGCGGTGCGCGTTGCTTCTCCCACCGTTAGCATTAGCACTTCTTCGTGTTGTGTTGGAGCCTCGAAGTGGGTCGGATTGTTTGTGCGTGATCTGCAACGTTTTGTTCGGCTGAAGGAGCCCGGCTTTGGCCCTGCGCTCAGTGAGAACAGTTCTTGAGCTCGGAAGACGGCAGAACAGCGAAAGGGTTGTTTCCGATTCGTCTCGGACCTCTGAGGCCGCCGGTGCAATCGCAGGAATTGGGAGCCGCCCAGGATCTGGACTTGGCAGTCGACCTGGGTCGCGAGCTGCCGCTGCCTCGTTTTGTAGAAAGCAGGTCGGAGCGCACAGGCAAGTGCTCGGAACTGTCCGAGGCTTCGCCATCACACCGAGCGCTGCAAGCTTGGAAGGCAGGCTGCGACTGCGTCGACACAAGAACTAAATGCTGTGAGGCCAAGTCCTCGTCACGGCGACGCACGCGGCTGAGTACAGTCTGGCAGTGGCATGCTGTGGCGGCTCCAGATACCTGCTGACAGGCTTTACGGAAGGGTGACCTCGTAGACTATTGGTCAATCTCGCACGGAGAGTGGTGCGGGGTCCCAGCCAATCCTTGCGGTTTGGTAGCCAAAGCACATCAAAGAGTCTTGTTGCATTACTTACGTATCAAGGCAATGAGGGGGAAAGCGGGGGGAAAGCATGCCGTATGCGTCGCAAAGATGAGAATTTCTGCAACGCTGCGCACAATTTGAATTGCTGGACCAAGGCCGCCGCAGTGAAGCTGCAAAAGAGCAAAAATAAATCGCGAGCAGCAACAAAGAGGCAAGGCACTCGCCTTCGCCTGCAGTCTGCGCACGGCGAGGTCAAGTTCAGAACAGAAAGGCTCGTGGCGGTAGGAATGCCAGGCCTTGAATCGAGCGCACAACGGACGGGGCACATCAGAACGCCAAAAAGTGTTTTGTACATGCACATATACACGGCGCATATATGTGTCATGCCGGGAGCCTCATCGATGCCTGGAAGCAGTTTGCAAAGAACTGGGTGAGATGGCTGGCACGGCAGCTTCTGCTGGGCATATCCAGGAAGGCAGTATGATCGGAGAGCCATCATAAACTGCGCTGCGGCAGAGCTCACGCGAGCCCAAGAGGATTCAAGACGGCAGCAGAGAGGCCAGGATGGAAATGGAGCGGTTGTGACGATGTGTAACTGGCATCAAGCCTGGCGCAGTATCACACGAGCTGGGCATAACTGGTAAGTGATCAGCTGAGCAGAGACACACGACAGACCAGTAAGGGCTCAAAAGCAAGGAGGAAGAAGGCCAGGGGGAAACGATTGCGGCTTGAATGGAACGGTCGTATGAGTGCGGATCATCGCCATTCCGACCCTGTATTCATGCAAGCCCTATCGAGCCTTTCAGGAACCTGCGACACGAGGAAGAAATATCCGGCTGCCCGAGGGGTCGAGCACGAGCGCATCAATTTTTCAGCCACCTCAATGCCTCAACAAGCATCGCAATCCAGCGTTTCATCTGCCTGACTCTCCGGGAGGCGCGCGCCCCTTGCCTGCGCTTTTCTACCAGCGTGCGTGTCCACCGTGGAGAGCGAAGATGATCCGTGAAATTCCGTTTGTGAAATAGGTCGAAAGTGCTGTAGATCTGGATAGCTTCTGAAACTCCAATCTGTGGACAGCAGCATTGCCAACGCACAATTTCCGGCTGCGACATCCTGCACGCGCAATGTCTCGGATTACAAGGAAAGCAAGGTGAGAGAATCCTCCGCCTGTGAGAACGAAGTGGATCAGTTTCCGCGTTTCAGGTTGAAGGGGGAAGGGATGGATCTGCACCCACATCTTCTTGGCGTACTTGGATTTTGGATAACATCATCCACGCGTTTGACTTCATGCCTTTCTGAGCGTGCAAAAGAATGAACCTCCTGTAGGAAGATCAGCACGGGGTTGTGGACCATGAGAGGCTTGGGTTCTGGAGGCAAATCAAGATTTGGGCCCGGTTAACCAGTCGCGAAGCAAATGGCAAATGTGTCCGCTCCACCCCGACTTCCACCTCCCGCCACCCACCCCCTCCCCCGCCGCCCTCCCCTCCGAAATACAACAGCAGAAGCACAGTTTTTCATCAGGCTCCCGGCAACAGTGGTCAACACAGATTTCGAAGGTGCCAGCCCTGGTGGTCGACTGGTAAGCACAAGTCGTGGGATGAATGCATGGAATCTGTGGAGTGAACACACCGAGCTGTGTGGAACAGTCAGGCCGTATTGTGATCGATTTGAAACCGAATACATGGCTCACGAAGGAGGCTCGTGCGCCGTGGGTGTTCGAGCAATATCTCAGCCTCAAAAGCATGCACATCAGGACCAAGCTTCAAAAGTGCGTCGAAGGATGGTGCCCGGAGCTCCAGGCACGTTTGAATCACTGGCTCTGGCAGATGCCGGCACGGCTCAAGCACCGGAAGGTGCGCCAGAAGGCTCACAGATCCGGCATAGTCCATCCGCTTGGTGCTGAGTGCAATCAGAGTCTCGAAGCGACAGTCAAGTTGAATGCGGTTTGTTGAGAGGCCGACCACTTTGCAGCGCCCCTGCGAGCAGCATCTCCTAAGCCGTCTTCTCATCCTGCTGACTCTGTAAAAACTTAGAGTCTTCACTGCTGTTGATCTGCCAAAGGTGTGTGCCTTCTCCCGGTCGTGCGGGGACCTGAGAGCTGGGCCCCTCCAAAAGATGTGGAGTGGTTACGCGGTCCAGCTGAGGCCATGTCGCCACGCGAGGGGCTGACACCGCGGCAAGCTACAGCACTCCGCACTGTGTGTTCAAGATATTTCAAGATATCGACAAGTTGAAAAACTTCTGACACGACGGTAAACCCGCACCTTTAGTGTATGAATGTGTTTTCAAAGGACATCAAAGGACCACCCACATTGAACTATTCCTTCCGACACTCCGGTAAACCAGCAATGTTCGACGTTGTTTCCACATGCAACATTCGATAACGTGTTTTCAAGAGACCAGCGAAATTTTCCTTCTGACGCTGTTTCGAACCTGACAAAAAAGAGATCACCAAGATCGTGCACCTTCTCCATCATGGCGTGGCTTCGGTGAGCCAGCCATGCGGGTAAGATGCTCAGCCGAGATGAGGGCTGGAAGATTGCAATCTTTTGCTGGGATCATTTTGTTGGAAGACTTGTGGCCACTTTCAGCATCTTGCAAAGGCACCGAGCCCTCGGAGGCGTGAGCCAACACCGAGAAGATCAGTGTGCCATCGACCTGCTTGCGGAAGACTTGTCATGTACACGCAGCATGTTCTGCACTTGCCAGATTCTGCCATTATAGTTAGCTGAGCTCCGCTTGTAATTCTCGCCCTGAGGAAAGCAATCACCACGATTCTGTTTCCTGCGCAAGAACAGACACGGAGAACTGTCATGAGAAAGGCAGACCTCTCCTTTTGGGGTCTCCTGAGAGGCCGACGTGTCTCAGCCTCTGCATGTCTAGCGGCTCGCTCCATGTGGTACACAGCAAGATGCCCGAGTGGCAGCCACTCTCACCTTGCCTGACTGATTTGTATTCATCGTTTGCGATCCCCAGGCCAACCTGTATTTTTTCAGACGCCGTTCTCATGGAGGTAGCGCACATAGCCTGCCAGGCCAGGAATGCCACCTGCAGGCCGCCGTCGCTTGAGTTTAGAACCTCTTTGTCTTAGGGGTGCATGGAATGATGCATTCAGGAGGGCCTCAGCCTCACCTTGGTGACAGTCCTCTGCTCCGTGCAGGTGGGAAAAATATTGCGGGCGGATACTTGCCGCCTTGAGTCTCACAGCTTAATGGCTTAGGCAAACCCAGGAGATGTTCGGCATTGTCCGACGGATCCAGAGGTTATCGTTCCAAGCCCCTGTAGCATGAACACGTAGGCATTTGCTCGGTGTGCTCGGCCACATCACGAGGACTTGCTGGATAGTTGCATAGAACACAAATGACTGCAAGTGCTTTAGATGTGGTTTACTTCTGTACAGTCCCTCGCAAGTAGGTAGCAGCAGTCTGTCCTCATGGCTCCCAGCCGACAGGCTTCTGCTTGAATTCGTGGTTGTAAACTGCAACGCTGACATTGTGACAGCTGGAGGGTTCCTGCACAAGCAGCAGCCAGAAAGGTGGCAGCACAACTTCTTGACGCCTTCATGCCAGGATCACATCGACAGCTCTGTTCGGACAAGCCGGCCCGATGAGTCATAGGTGCTTGAAGCAATGAACACGTTTAACCTGGCTCTCGGCCTCGCTCGAACCTTGCGATCATTGGTGCAATTGGTGAGCTGTTGGTGAATGCCGTAGGTTAGTCCGTCGTTGCATCGAAATTCAGCATCCGCTCCCTTTGCACTCAAACTTCATCGCCAGCATTTGCCACCCAGTTGCCACGGCTTTGGCTGTCGTGCACTGAAAGCTTCAGCTTCCGAGCTAATGTGGTAAATGTGGTGAACTTCATATTCATGCCGCTAGCTTTGGCTCTCAGTCTTGGCATCCTGCAGTTGCATCATGCAGCCTTTGTCGTCCGAGCTGTGGTGGACATCAATGATCCCTAGTGCAGTGATTGCATACAGTAGATCATCGAATGTCACCGAGCATCCTTGCTTTTGTAGTTCTATGGCCAATGCATCGCCGAAGGTTCTTGCTTGCAGCTGCCAACTTAAAAGTCGTTTGACCTGTCTGGCTTTGGGAATCGTTGGCTCTCAGGCCTGCACAGTGCTCAGTTCCAGCCAGCTGGCGAGCGTGAGGACTGCGCAACCTGTGAAAGCCTCCGCAGGAGCCTTAGATGACTTAGATGCCTCTGCCCCGGCTCTGCCGCGCTGCCCTGTCTCTGTCCTTGCTTGGTGTAAGCCAGGCCTGGGCCTGGAGCTGGCTCGGCACTCGGCACATCTCGGCACTCCCGACAGCACCGCCTTCTCCAAACACCGCAAAAGCCCTTGCCGCCCCGGTTTCTCTGAGGTGGAAGTCCATTGGGAGCCCCAGATGGGTTTGCTCACCGATGGTCGACCAGTCGGCCTCCAAGAGGAGACCTCGAGGGTTCTTTGTCAGTTCAGCCTTCTTGGGCCTCTGGAGCGCGAACTGTCAAAGGTCTGAAAGAGCCTTCCGAATCCTTTGCAGAAGATACGGGGCGCTCGCCCCGGCGATTTGCTTGCACTTTGCCACACTGACCGGCAGAAGATAATTTGAGACATGTGCTCAGGTCCAGCTGGCATACACGCCAATGCTGCATGCTGAACCATTCACTACAGACGACGTGTACCGAAGGCATCCGTGCTGTAAGCTTGCGACGCCGGCCGTGCTTGTGGCTGCTTTCGAGTGCCTATACCACTCTGCTGCTCCAGCTTCGCCCCGAGGGTTCGATTCAAAGCAATTCGGAGATGACACGCAAAGCACACGTGTTTCAAGTGCCGTCATCCCTCTCCCGACAAGATGCCTCGCATGACAAACCAGCCAGTGCCTGATAGTGCATGCGTCCACTGTAGAGTGACCACTTGCAAAGAACATATCAGACTAGGGAAGGCTGCCGAAGGCTTCCGAGCGAGATCCAACAGAGAAAGGTGCTACGAACAAGCGTGCAAGAAGGCGTGCGCACTGCCAGAACCTGCTCCTGCCGGTTGATTTGGCGGAAGTCGTAGCTTGCTTGTCGTTTGTGGAGCAATCATGACCTCCGACACCCTTCGACCAACTTTTCTGGAGGGCAAAACTGTCCCGACACCAAGTATCGTCAGCGGTGGCGGCCAGCCGACCTTTGTACCTAAACGTAGGGATCGAACGGTGGTGGTCATTCACTTCGGGCAGCCCTCAAGTGTGGAGGACATACTTTGATGCGTGGGAACCAGCAGCCCTAGGCACGGCACTTGGTCGGGATTCAGAGTCGAAGACGCTGTGAACTATTTCGACATTTTTGCGGTGTGTGTGTGTGTGTGTGTGTGAGAGGAATTGCGAAAGATGTGGACCGGCCGCTCATTGCACAGCTTGGCGGGGACGATCCGTCGGAGCCTTACGTCAGTTTTCGGCCCTGCCCGGAAGTTGTGCACGTGCACGCGCATGCACTCACGAATGGTCGTACACTCACGCACACGTACCAGACCAACAGAATGGTCCGTGGGGATACGCGACGATCGGAGAGCAGGGCGTAGGCATAATGCGTTCTTGCGAACGGACTGCGATGCCTAGTCAAGTTCTGTGAGCGTGGCCTTGTATAGGTCAAGAGTGGAGGTACGCCACGCGTCCTCCATCTCTAGGTGTAGGCTTGTGGGCATGCTACGCATACCACAATGCCGAACCACTTTATCATATGCCGCCCATGCAACTTTGGCTCAAGAATGAGCACAAGCTCTAGAAAGCATTGCCGATAGCTAAAATAGCTTTCGTCTTCTGTGACCTTTTCCGAGGAACAGAGCTATCCCGAGCACAGACGATCCATCGCTGGCCGCAAAGGTGCAAAACAAGCGAGCTCTGGATCTGCCTGCCCTGGGAGTTGAGCTTACACGTGGGAGTGAGGAGAAAGCGTATCGAGTCTGTAGAGGGCAACCACATCCGTATACAACATAGCTCTGTGGGGTGAGCGACAAGGAACATCATCAAGATCAAATCCCCACGCAGGTTATCAGCCGTACGCGGCTCTGCCTATCTACAGCAAGGACTACTTGATCTACCACGACCACAATGAACTCGGGATCAAGTCAAGATACGACAATGACTTTCGGTGCCGACGTGGCAGCGCCGGCGGTCGGGGACTCGACTGCTGATGATACAGTGGTGCAATCAGTCGATAGCTCCACAGAGGATGACAAAGGTCAATCTTCCGCGCTTGCCATTGCAAAGGCAGTTCCCAAAGCAAAAGCGAAAAGTACCCCAAGGGCATCCACGCCTTCGCGTCCTACATCTTTAGGATCGAGGACGGGTAAGGCTACAGATCGACGTTCCGACACATCTGGTTTTCAGGTGCCAAGGACTCCGTCGAGGGCAAAGGACAAGGGGGTAAGAACCATGGAGAAAGTGTCAAGACCATCGTCTTCGAGAAGTTCTTCAGCACGATCTAGGACATCAACAGCAAGGGTACGGGAGAGATCCATGACGTGGAAGAAAATGGTTACGAACCATCCCAATGACGCTGATGACGCGGACATGACCCTCGACACGATTCCGGCGCGAGGTGATGCATCATCGGTGGCTACCCCAGCTATAGCTCATGGTCCGAACATCTATCAGGAAATGACGATGCAACAGCAAATGGAAGCCTCGAACCTTGCACAGCAGATGTGCTACCGGAGCGAAGTGCAGGAGTACGAGGGCGTCCTGCAGAACCTGGTAGAGAAGATCAGGGAGATGCAACAAGTAGATGAAGGATCTGGAATTCGCATCGAAGAATTGGAACGACAACGTGATCACGCATGTTTGGCCATGCGGCATATCAACAATGTCAATCAGGAGATGAAACGTGACTATGAAGCGGCGTTATTTCGCATGGATGAACAGAACTCTGCTCAGCAACGTCAGGGGCACGCCATTGCCGAGGAGTTGGCTCAGCAACTACATGTGTTTCGTACGGAAGCAGCTGCTAACTTTGTGCAGTTGGAAGTTCGAGCCCAAGGTGATGGAGAACTCATGGCACGTGAGTATGAACATCTGACACAGGAACTTCACGAACAAGCCAGGGAGAACCTGTTCCTCCGATCGAGCACGGCTAGCTCAGAGCAAGCCATGCACGCCATGCAAGAGCGATTCATTCTGGCCAGGAATCGGGAGTTGCGAGTCATGAACGAGATCCAAGGGTTGGCTGGAAATCAAGCGGCCATAGATCAAGAACGACGTCGACTTCGCGAACGTCTTGGTGAAGAGGAAGAATTGCGCAAAATGACAGTGAAGAGGATGCAAGACGCAGAAGGTCAACTTCAACAGCATGAAGATCACGCAAGACAGGCGTTGCCGACTTTGCATGATGAGCTGGATGAGCTCAGGAAAGCGCTTAAAACACAAGAAGATCTCCAACCAAGGACACGCAGCGAGCTTGAAGCAGCACGGAGTTCCAACTTGTATGTTGGGTCGTTTCGTCCACCAAGCGGACCTATGTCCTCGAGAACAACTGAGTCGGGCTGGGAACACGTAGGAAAGGAGGTAGTGCTTGCATTTTCCGTAGGAGTTGAGGTACGATCCCCTGAAATACGGTCTCCTAGTCAGGTTAGCCCAGTCGCCAGAGGGAAGTTCGCATTCTCCGAATCGGGCAGAGACAAGGTCCTTGCTTCGAATGATGCGAAGACCGCGGGCGAAGGCAACTTGGACGGCAATGTGAAGGGCGAGGTCCATTCGCTTCTAGGGATGACACCGATGGCAGCGGACATGGTACCTGCGCACAACGTGCCTGGTACCAGTAATTCAGCACTTGAGCGTTCCACGCCTAGTGCAGCCATGTTGTTCGGATCCCGAATGAACCTACCCGGAAGCAGAATGATGCAAAAGCCGTACGTGATCGACAATTGCATGAACTTCTGGAAGATCGCGAGATGTTGGGAGGAAATTCCACAGCGTCTGCCAGCTCTTCTAGACCTGTCGACCTTGACGGTGTGCTTGCATCGATAAAGGGCTTCAATTCCAGTGCAGTCCAAAGGCCTACACCCGTGAGCTTTGACAGTTCAATCCAAGATGCAAGAAACGTCAACTCGAGAAAGAGATTGCAGAACAGTACGAGGAGAAGATCGCCGAGTTGCGAAGCGAAGTCCTCAAAGCTCAGAGAGCCGAACAACGTCTCCGAGCTGACCGTGACGAGTGGAAGTTGATGGCTGAAACATTGCAGGAATGCGAAGGAGATGATGACGGCGAAGAAGGTGACGGACATGAGGACGAAGGGCAGGGAGATGACGCCGGCGCAGGATATGGTCCGCCAGACCCACCGAACCCCGACGATGGAGACGGCAAGAAGAAAGGCGGAGGGGAACCTGATCCGGATCCCCCTGATGCACGTGATCCTGACGGAGACGCAGATCCTGAAGTGACAGAAGTGAGGATTTCTAGGAGAGAGGCTGACAAAGTGAGTGTCCCTCCTTGGCCTACTCTCACTCATTTGAACAATTGGCGTTCTGCGTGCGCCGCAAATGTTCTTGGCGCATCGGCTGATCCCAACCGTGAGGACTGGATGTTGTGGCTGGCACCAGCTTTCAATCCATTCCCTGACGTCGAAGCTCCGAATGATTCTGGACATAAGAAGTTCAAGAGCATTGACGTCAAATTGGGAGTTGCCATGGTAGCGATGTTGCGCGCTGGTGGTGACAAATCCGCTGATCTATACCTGGAAGTGAACCGGAAGTCCAACGACTACATCAGTCAACCTGAAGGGAAGATCATCGAAGGACGGCAGATCATCGCCATGATGTATGAAAGTTTTCGAACTCACGACCGTCTCGACATGATCATCACATTGGATTATTTGGTGAAGCTCCAATACCAAGGCGACAACAAGCTTCACACGTTCAAACAGACATGGTTGGAAGTCCTTGGACGAATGAGACCGGAGGACATACCGTCCAAGACGGCTCTTCGAGACTGCCTGTATAGCAAGATCAAGGACTCGGCCGCAATGAAGTTGGAGTTGGGTATGCATTATGAACATCTACCCTACAACCACGAAGATCGGTCGTATGAGAATCTCATCAAGATCATAGACCGGACCATCGTGCGAAGACGTGAACAAGCAAATCTCACTCAGACTCAAATCGGCCTACGTCAGATGTTGGAGGGCAAGGACATGCTTGCTGCACCAGCCAAGGCGTCTGAAAACAAGACGCAGCCAAATGCAGCACCCTCTCCAAAGGTTAAAGCAAGCCCAACAAAGCCTGGCAAAGCAACTCCCGTGCTGCCTCAGAGCAACGCGAAGAGTCATGCGAAGGCCAAGCCGAAACCGAAGAAGAAGACCAAGAGTGAGTCCGCGGATAATTGGATGACAAGAGCAAGAAGCATATCCGCTGCAAGTTCCACTTCACAGATGCAGGATGTCGAAATGGTGACAAATGCCCATTCAGTCATTCCAAGAAGACTCCAGAACGACCCTTCACACCAAGGTCAAGAACTCCGAGTCCATCGGGAGGAGCAAGTCGGATATGCTATTCGTTCAAGAACACTGGTTCGTGCTCGAGGGAGAAGTGCCCCTTCAAACATGAGGCTGCGGCAACGCCGGCCCCTGAACCAAAGGCGAAGGCCAAGGCTAAGTCCGAGGCCAAGGCAGCAGCCGCCAAGCCAAATGCGAAGGCGAAGGCACTTCCAGCAGCACCAGCCATCAGACTTTGTCGAAGGTGGAATCCATCAGCACCAGCTATTTGGAAGAGATCCTCGAGGCAGAGCGACGAAGAGTCAGTTTGTTCATCCGTGGACAGCGACGCTGACTCGGATTGCTCAACTGATGATGAATCACCGGGACCGACTACGTCGACCCGGAAGCCTGCCAAGCTCAGTGTTTCGTTTGCTGAGGACGTAAAGTTCATATCGTCTCGTCCGCGAAAGTCAAACAAGGAGAGGGGACGAGAAGTAACGCCCGTTGATGTGAACGCGCTGGTGAACGATGAGGATCGACCCGTTGATTTGGAATTCGCCAAGCACAAGGCAAGGCTGAGGGCACAGAGTATGAGGGACATGGTTGACGATGATCGCGGAGTCTGAGGAGGTCTCCTTCTATGATGGAGAGGATTCCATTGTCGAACGTGAGCTTGACGCCGCACATAGCAAGCGGATCATGGATCAAGGAGTGTTCAAATGCATGGTTCAACCAGTCAGTCTTAAGAAGAAGATCAAATTCCTGATGGACACTGGTTGTGGACATGACCTCATATCGCAAAAGAAGATCGAGAAGCATAGCCTTGAGACGCTTGTGACCCCGGAGCCCATATCCTTTCACACGGCAAACGGGATCACGGACACCGACCTGGTGTCGAATTTCCGAACCGAGTCGTTTGAAGAACCCATCATTGCCTACGTATTGGGAGACGCTCCATCGGTGCT